CACAATGAATTGTCTAACACAATTGTCATATGAGATTAATTCAGAATATTAGTTAGGATGGTAATTATGAAAATAAATGTGACTAGGAATTTGCATATTTGTGTTTTGTGTCAGAGATATGGATCAACTGTGGAGATGTGCCTCAGATGTGTGCTTGTATGGTACAATGCTGTGAGCAGTCTGAGTTTGATGTATTGGTCTTAAGCATATGCCACTTGTCCTTCCTAATGAAGCATGCACAATTTACAGGTTTAATTAACTATCATGGCTGTAATTGTTAACTAGGTCCCAGTGTTCCAAAATAATATATTTTGACATATACACTGTTTGTTTAAAAATGATGTAGAAGGCTATGATCTGTTCAAAGGTACTTGTTCTGCAGTCGTTGTATTTCATGGTTTGATTTATTAGAAAAGGAAATGTTACATAAATTCCTCCTTCAAAAAGTGAAGCCTACAGAATAGGAAAGCTGCTTTTGATGTGTTGTAGTTCTTCTGATAAATCCATGGATAGAAAATAGATTTCTGAGTAAATTCTTAAGAAGTGCTCAGTGTTTTGCTTTTGAAATTATCGTGACTGTGCATGTATCTAAATGGTAATGAATTGCTAACAAAGTAATCTGAGTGTTTTTTCTATCCTGCACGCTAATGATAAGGAGAATGTGATAAAATATTTGGCATGTTGATGTCTGTTTTGAAAACTGGGAATACAAGCATGAATCAGGAAGCTTAATGAGATTTTTCTTCTCTAAAACACTGGGTTTCCTGCTTTTAAGAGAGATGTGAGAAAAATGTGACTTCTTTATAAGCTGTCCTGCAGGCTGAACTTTCAGATACCATTGCTAGTTAACCTAGTTTAATGAGTACTTTTTAATTCATGATAATTGTTGATCTACTTGGAGCTCTGTCTCAGCAAATATTTACTAATGAACACAGTGTGTGCGGTAGAGGTCTTTGTATTATTTAAGGTAGTAGCTTGAGGACATGTTTATCCTTGGAAGAGTTCTAGTTTTGCTTTAGTACTAAGTGGTCTGGAAGATCTGTACATGCCGTGGCTGAAAGTCCCTTGGCAGTTTTGTTTAGTCTGGTTTAAGCTATTTTACTTTGGGATGTTCATGTCCATTGGAGGCTGCTGTCTAAAAGGAAGTACTTTGCCTTTGAGGCAAACATCCTGAGATGTGATTCCTTGCACCACTCCCTGTGTATTCTCAGGATTTTTCTTGCTGCTTGGGTCTGTAGAGTACTTCTAATCATTCATTTAGATTTTTGGAGCCAGTACAACATCTGGAACATGTGCGCTATAAGGAAAGACTGAGAGAGCAGGGCCTGAGAGGGAATCTAACCAGCGTTTATAAGTACCTCAAGGGAGGCAGTGAGGAGGATGGTGCTGGGCTCTTTTCAGTGGTGGCCACCGACAGAACTAGAGGAAACGGCCAGAAACTGAAGCATCAAAAGTTCCACAGGAACTTAAGGAAAAATTTCTTAACAGTGAGGGTGACAGAGCACTGGAACAGACTGCCCAGAGAGGTTGTGGAGTCTCCTTCTCTGGAGATCTTCAAAACCCACTTGGATGCAGTCCTGTGCCATGTGCTCTAGGTGTGCCCTGTGTGTGCAGGGGGGTTGGACTAGATGATCTCCAGAGGTCCCTTCCAACCTTAAGCATTCTGTGATTCTATGTACCTCTTTCAAAGCACAGCCAAGCAGCAGTGGAAAAACCTTGCTGAGTAATAATGGAGCTAATAATTGCATTACACGCTATTTTTCAGAGGTTAGACACAGGAGAGGCAGGCACTTCTGCATTAGTTCCAGCTAAAGCAGGTTGAATTAATGCAGAGAGCAGTTAGCACTAAGAAGGGGACAGGGCAACATGACTGCCACTGTATTACTGGCAATGGCTCCAGAAATCTGGAGTTTAATGACCACATGTCTGCAGTTTGTTCTTCCATGGAGCTCTAGTTCTCTAAATGTGAGTGAATTCCCATGTAATTTTTAACTTTTTTTTTTCCCCACCATGGGAGAAGAAACATATAAGGACTAAAGGAAAAAGTTAATTTAACCCCTTCATGTTTGATATTGTGAATTTTATGATGCGGCCACTAGTTCAGAGCTTTTTTAAATGTCTGTTTCTTATTAGACTTGTGCTATGTGTCAGGAACACTTTCAAAATACAATTGCATACTTGTGTGATATGTATTTTCTTGTCATGCTCACCTTGTTGTCGAATAAGTGTCTACAATCAGACACAGTAATGCTGTGGTGTTAGTATTTCTGTGCAAAAGAGAAAGCTCTGGTGTTATGCTCATGCATCACCAATAAAACTGACAGCTGAGTTACAGCTCTTGCCCTCTAGTTTTGGTGATGATTTATGGATGGAAAAATACCGAATGTGCTTATATTTCCCATATCCAGATCTTTTCTTTATTTACACAAATGATATATTTCATAATTTCTGTCAAAAATCTTGCAGGTTTTTGGAAATTAGGCTTTTTTATTAAAAAATTACTATGAATGTTGTAGATATACTTAAAACAAAGCTCTGTAAAACCTATTTCATAAAGTTTTGTAGTTAAGGAAGGTAAAATTTGAAGGTCTGCAAATGCATTTTTAATGCCAAAGATACTTTAGGATGTCTTATAAAGATTACAAGAGAAATTGAGATTATTGATCTCAATAGTCAATTAATTTGATCTGGGATTGCAAGCAGTTGACTCTTGAATTGCTTGGGGGTTAGGGTATGATGGGTCCTTGAATTCATTTTTTTTTAATCTTAACATATTTCAGTTGTTTAAAAACCTTTTAAAATCTTTAAAATCTTAACCTTGAAAATCTTTTAAAACTTAGCCTTGATTCTGAATCCCCCAAGTTCATTTTTTTTCTGTGAAAAATCATTTTTTCAATATTTTTTCTACATGTATGTTTTTAATATATGGTTCATATAGCCTCCCAGATTTACTTTCAATTTAAGATGATACATTTGTCCAAGTTTCCAAGTTCCTTTTTTTTTTTTTTAAAGCTGTATAGATGTAATACTATAGGAAGAAATTATATGATGTTGAGAAAGAATGAGAAATGTTTCAAATAACTTGTTTTTATTTAAATTTTATATCACATAAAGCAGTGTAGTCCTGGCTGCTTTGTGCTATGATGGAGCAAATATAAAGCAGCTGGAGTATTTCACGTATGCAAAGCAGGTTTATAGCCTTTCTGTGTTTCCAGTTCACATGGGCTATTTTGCAGCTGTGAATCTTGCTCAGGGACTTTTGGTGGGTGGCCCCAGCACACTTACACAACTGAGGTGGGTTGAAGAGCAGTTAGAAGGTCAGGCACATGTTGACAAGGGCCTTGGTGTTTCTGACTTTGCAAAAAATAAAATTGCCTCGCATAGACTAGCCAGTGTGTGCCAGGTCATGCTTAGTGACCATGCTCAATGTCCATGTTTAAGACACTATTGAGCTGATTGCTCATTAATAATAGCTTAGACTTACGTTAGTAGAGCTGTGAAGTAGAGAGTGAAAATGCCTTTTCTTGAATCTTTCATGTTAAAAATTTGTATTAGAAAAAAATAGAATATTTCATCTTTAATCTGAAATATATTAATTATCTTGTCTCATGAGAATGGTAGTCTCAATCCCTATTTCCATCATATGCAACCAAATGATTTGGAATTTTACCAATGCACAAACAGCTGTGGTCTTCATACACTGTGTGGGTATAGCATTCAGCTTTCCAATATAATGTCAGAAAGGAGATGGGGAACTGAGTGAGATGGAAATTAAACCAGAAAGTTGTCTGTAGAGTTGATTTACCCATAATCTAATGTTCAGCTAATTGGCTAGCATCCAAACTGTGCTCTGAGGAAAAATTGTTGCATACTAGATGACTGCGTCCTGGTAGGATGTACTCATATGCTTCATATGTAGGTATCAATTTTTGTCTTTTATAGCACAATGATTTCTTGTGTTCTCAACCTGGCTGGTGATACTAAAATGAAAAATGTTGGGTTGCAGGAGCAGAATGCTGGCCATGCGAAGTCAGCAGGAGTTTTGCACTTTATGTTGTCAGTGTCAGAAATTGACCCTAGGTTGTTATATAGTAGATTTGACTTTTAACATTTAAGTAGATTTAACATTTAACTTTGATTGTCATCTGCGGTATATCCATTAGTCAGCAGAATCTAAAAGCATGCATTGCAAAAAAAGATTTTAAAGAAAAAAAAAATATATATATATACATATCATGTCAGATAGAGCTTCAGAGTACCTGAACTTTAGTTATAGTCAAGCCTAAATGGTCAGTTTTAAGTTACACTCAGATGAATAACAGCTGTGTGAGCAGAGGCAGTATATATCCTTTCTCCTGCTTGTTTAAAGTTAAAACATGCCTCTAAATGTTATGCTGAGTGAAATTCCAGTCTTCTGTGCCCCAGATGGGTCAGGAGCAATCAGGCTTAGATGTAAACTGCTCTAGGGCACAAAATCCGAGTCTGTGGACTCTTTGTGAAGCTAACAGGGTAAGATGCAAAGATAACCATCGTTTATACCTCTTCTGGAGGATTAAGTAAAGAATGTATGTAATAGTGCTGTACATGCCAAGTATTGACTTTTTTTTCTTCAAATATGAAAATTTATTGTCCCTATGGTAAGTATTTATCTTATGTATCAATGCATTCTGATTTTTTTTTTTTTTTAAGGTCAATGTAAGTCAATATTCGCTTTTCATGGTAGTCAATACTCACAGGCTAAGAGGAGCTTTTGAAAGTGAAACTCCAGATTCTTATTTTTGCCTCTGTGTTAGAAAGATGCTGGTGTTTTGTGTGCGTGACATAGTCAGAATTGTACTTGTTCCCATAGTGTGTATATATATAATGTATATCTGATCAAGCAGGAATGTCATCTTTAGCTCCTTGGACAATGGATAAAAGCAAATATAATTAACAGTTTTAAGGTATTTCAGGAACTGTTTCACATAAAAATGTGTTTTACCTTTTTTTTTTTTTTTTAGGTGGCCTGGCTTTAGCTCAAGTACAATTTTTTTATGTGAAATACCTGGTTCTGTATGGTGTTCCTGGCCTCCTCCTCCGAATGGATGGACTGAAACCTCCAGCTCTTCCTTGCTGTGTAAGCAGGATGCACAGTTTCACTAAAATGTGGAGGTCAGTCACTCCTCTTTAAACAATTTACCAATATATGGTAGTGAATGTAAAAGAATGAGTCTGTGTGTTTTCATGCTTGCTCCTATGTTCTTGTACTTTTTATCTAACTCTAGAGTCAACACTCTGTTTTCTAAATTAAGTTTATTTTGTTCATTGCTCTCTTAATGCTGCAAAGGTAGAAGGAAGCATTCCTTACAGTATTTTCATGCTTTTAATCATTAGTTTTAGACTTGACTCAGTTAACTTCACTAACTGAGTGAACCTGGCAATTATTTTTTCCAGGTACTTTATTAAAGATGATTCATTTTTCACTCTTGGTCCAGAAAGCACATTTCCACTGGATATTCATCCAGAGTGGAAATGCTTGATTAGTTACTCTGAGGAAAACATATAACACTTTAATACACTTTAATATGCAGTCATGCAGTAAAGAAAATCTTTAATAAAATAAAAATATTATGAAAAGTGGCGATTGTTTAGAACTCAAGATGAAGCTCGGTATCTCCTTTTGTTTTTTAAAGAATTTACATGCTATGCCAGAAAAAAAGTCAGTTTTAACTTTTAAATCAGTAACTACTAGTAATCAGTAATACTAAATCTGTCTTATTAAAGTGTTTTTCCTGAGAAGTGTCTCTGAAATGGATTCTACTTGTAGCTCAGCCTATGTAAAAGGGACTTGCCTGACTTCTCTCCTTCCTTGTTTTCCTTTGCCCCCCTTTGTTCCTCCCCTACAGGAGGATGTACCCAGTGTTCTCGAAATATTGCTTTAAATGACTGAGACTTCCCCAGCTTGCAGTGCAGAGACTTCACTTGCATGGTACTAACACAGAGCCTAGCACAGCAGCGCACCCTTAGAGTTTTCAAGTGCTTAGTGATGTTAGTATGGCCAAAATTAGAACAATTTAAGAACACTGGGAATGACATTATCTGAGCTTATTCGGATGAGATTTTTAATTTTGTTTTCTGCTTGAAGCTAGCTGTAACAAGAAGACTTTATGGTTTATAATTGTTTGCCGTTGTAGGTGTCTGTCCTTCATAGAAGGAATACAACAGAAATAGAGGGGAGAAGATAGATGAGCTATTAAAAATAATTTGAGCTGCTAACAAGTCCCAATGGCTTAAATTCTCTTTTAGAACTTGAACAGACCTTCTGACCTACAGAGTTGAGAGAGATCTATGTTTTTATCAGGCAGTCACCTGAGATCAGTGTCTCTTGGCCTGCTTGTCCTAGCAAGCAGCTTCACACAGCAGCAGTATTTCTCTCCTCTGGCGGTTGTTATGTCATGGACACTGGGTATTTCTCTGCAGAGAATCTGAACTGTAATGCAAAAGAAAAAAGTATTATGGGCCTGCAAAGTTAGGTGTGGTGTTTCACTTGCAGTAAAAGTGTTTGATATTCCTTAAAAATATATTTATAATGTCATCTTGTCTCATAAGAAAATTGAAAATTGTATCTGGTCAGATGAAGCTCACTTTATTATCGTTGGAAAATATTATTTATATATATTTACTATTTACCAAAATATTGAATTCATATGTTATATAGCTAACAATCACTGCCAGAAATAATTAAATTAGTTCAGAGGTGGGATTGGTTTGTTTGTAGGTTGAAAAATCTGTTTAGGCATAGCTGATTTGATTTCCTGCTCCCAAAGCCATGTAAATATTAGAATTTCCTATAGCGGTTTGTGAATTATGGATCAATTGCCACTACCTCAGAGATCTCACACAGCTTGTCCTCTGAATCCCTGAATTATGGTTCTCTTACACTGTTATGGTTAAACTCATGAATCGCTGCTACCCCAGAGGCTTGCAGACCTTTTAATGTGTTTTGGTTTGTTATATGGGAACCTCGGTGTTAGAAGTGGGAGGCAGAATGACAGCCTTTGCTTAGAAACCGTATGGCAGTCTGAGCAGGATGGGCAGAGACCAGCAAGGGAAGGAATGAAGTTTTCTACATTTTTGTAAGCTTTCCTGAAAATACATAGCATGTATTGTAAGGTTTACTGGAAAGTGACTTCCTGTTTCCTTGAAGTGCTAAATAATGTTTTGTAGTTAGGCTATGAGTTCATTGATTCAATGACTTTGATGAATTCAGTGACTGCTCTTAACAACTGTAACAGAGTATCTCAAATGTTAACTCAGTGCTTAATTTTAAGCTTCTACAATGAGAAGAGCTGTACCAGAATCAATTCTTGTAGCATGATCACAGGCTTTCTTTGTTCCCTGGCGTCTGCTTTACACTACTTGAGAGTTAGGCTATTATTTTAGAAAGGCTTTGGGCTGACCCAATATTGCTAATTTTGCACCTCAAAGTGATTAAGAGTGCAAATTTCAAAGAAGAGAGGAAGCCTGGAAAGGAGGACAACACAAATGTCTCGATGCAAGGGATGCAAATATAAAGCATGTGCCTGGATGGGTTGTAGGATTGCACCAACATCTGTCTTCCTTTGATCATACCAACAAAAATTTTGATAAGATAGATCCAGACCAATGTCATGTATAATGGCACATGCTAACATAGTTTGCTCTGTGAGATAATAGAGAGGAGCTTTCAGTCAGAAGGTAAGAAAAATACTGCAGCTTGTTGTCTAAAATTTCTCTAGAGCTTATAAGTCAAGCAGGTATTAGAAAAACAAATCAGTTACTCCGTCTCCCATGATATTTATTAATTAGTCAAGCTATGTCCATTCAAACTTAAAAGGCCGTCATTAAAAAGTCATCACTTTATTTGTAGTAGATTCTGCCTAATTTGCTTTGTATTTAATTGATCTCCTGTGTGTTTTTTTTTTTTTTTTTTTAAATAGCAATCTTATTTTCCCTCTTATGGCAAATACAAGTGCTGAATATGTTACTGAGGTTTTACATTACCAGCGTATCTTGGTAAATATACAGTTACATAATAAATGCATGATAAAGTTATTACTATTCATAAGCCTAACTATGGTTATTAAAAAGAAGATCCTTGGTGCATCACGATAGTTCCAGACAGCACAACAGTTCAGTGACATACCAACTTAGTTTTCAATGTCTACATTATCCTCTCCAAATCACAAGGAATGAAAGCTTTCTCCTTACCAAGGGTAAGATCAAGGTTATTAAGCATGTGAGAAGAACTAGCATTATTGGAAGCTTAAGTGCTTAACAATTATTCAAGGCTGGTGTCTACTCTTCAACTTCTCAGGCTGGGAGCAAATAGTATAGTGTCACTGGAAGAAGTTGTGCTACTGTTAGCAGAGCATTGCTGATGATTGTAAATTATTTCAATATGGAAAGAGGCTCTTGCAGGATACTCATAATTAAGCTTGTGGAAAGTAGAGAAACAACAAATACCATATACTAAACCTTGTGTTAATTTTGACTTCTTAATGAAAATACTGACTTTGACAATGCTGTCCACAAAGAAATTTGTTAAAACTGCTGAGTGTAATGCATGCTTTTCTGTGAAGATACTGATTGCGGGAATCATGTTTTGACATGCCGTGGGAACAGCGTAAGTTTGATGCAGGTTGTGTAGAAGCACAGTTCCTCCCCTTCTGTTTCTCTCTGTCTTAAGTTATGTGGTCTCAATTATTTTGTCTTGAAATGATTTGGAGGCAAATGTGCTAGGGGCAAATTATGTTTAAAATTTTATGGGTGCTTAATGTAGATTTAGTGTCAGCAAGGTTGTGTGAGACTGTGAAAGGTAGATTTCTTAAGGATCAGAGTTTTACCCAGAATCACGACAATTGAATTGAAGAACCTCAAGATTAAAATAATTGAATGCAATGATGGAAAAATATCTGATTTTCAGCTTTTCAACAGAAAAATAGCGTTCTAATTTCTGCCTTGCACTTAGTACTCTGATTTTTGACTGTGTAGTAGTTTGATATAAGTCAAAAAAGACGTTTCCTAATGGATGGACTAAGAGGGCTGAAATTTGTACATACACTTGTACATGCACACACATGTAAGGTTTTCTCACAGGTATTTTGGTGGCATCCAGTAAAGACAGCTAGGTCATGATTTGAAAGAAATTGCCTTAAATTCAGTTTAGTTTGCCTGCGTTTACTACAGAAGGATTGCTTGCCTTGTTCTATACGTAAGGTTTAAATGAATTGTTTCAAATTATGGATTAGAATTTTGCTGCAGGCTAGTCATATTCTCTGATAGGCTGTACATGCTGTAAACATGCTATACAAAGTATAATCTTTCCTATATCTGTTACTTTCTCATCCTGATACTTCTTTTTAGCACCCTTCATTTTTCTTGAAATCTTCTGCCACTGGCAATCACTGTTGCATGGGTTGAATGTGTCTATCAAGAAGGACTGTATAAGGTATTTTCCCTTCCTTTCAGATTCTTTCAGAAAAAGATGACTCTGCACTGATGCTATATGTGTGTGTGTGCAACCACAAGAGATGGCTATGACCACCTACAGTGATTTAGAATGGTTAACAATTAGAAATCTATTTTAAATCTATTTTAATCTATTTTTATTCTAAAAATATCTTTTTGCATGTGCTTCTCACTATCATCTGAGCTTATGTGCTTTCTGTATTCAGGATTCTGGTCCTTATATTGGAATAAATCGTTTTGAGAGTTAGCTTATTAAATATATCAAGAAGAGTAAGCTATTGAAATCCTCATGGTATTTGGGACTTACCCAGCAGCTGGAACTGAGAGACAAGAAAAGGAAAGACAGTGTTAAGCATCTCCCTTTTCTGTGAAGATTAGGAATGTCATTTCTGGCCTATTTCCAGCACCTTGGATTTTTTTTTCAAAGAAACAGTCATATTACGTATTGTACACACTGTATTAGACAAAACAAAAGCATTTCCAGCAGTCTGGTTCTTTACTGGCTTTCAGTTTAAGAAATGTTAACCTCACAGCATTTCTGTTTTTTTTTTTTTTTTTTTTTAAAGCATGTTTTCCCTGCCCCTCACTTTTAGACATGTCTTAAATATGGAAAAGGATTGTTTAAAAAGCATAGCTGGATTAAATGGAATTACACCTGCAGT